ATAGGGTCTCAAACTTGCACTAAATTGGTGATTAAGGTCTTAAAGTTTTGTTATGCTCAATTAAAGTCCTAAAATCGTGATAATTCTCAAATAAAATTCTAATTGGATGGAAACGGCGTTAAGTCTTTGGTTAACCCTGTTAACTTTAAGTGGTTAAATAACAAACTAAGTTCCTAAACTTTTAATTTTAGCTCTTAATAACTTTAAAATTTTTAATAACCTCAAAATGTTCTTAAATTTATTTTTCTCTTTGTTTATGGGGAAATTTTTTGTGGAACCCACAACTAAAAATTAATGTGGCATAAATGTAGGCCTCGATTTTTTTTTTTGTTATTTTTTAATGAATGGATTTACTATGTAAATATATGGTACCCAATCAAAGAATTTGTTATGGCAAAAAAACTCAAAAAATTTTTTACTAGTTAATTAAATTTTTAATGAAATTATTTAAAGGATAATTAATAAATTATTTTAGATAATTAAAATTAATTTTTAGAGTCCCAAAAAAGTTTCCTTATCAACAAAAAAAAATGTTTAAGGAGTGTTTTGAGGAATTAAAAGTTTTAGAATTATTGAAAGCTAAAATTAAAAGTATAGCGACTATTTTGTTATTTAACAGGCTAGATTTAGCCTTAGTTCGATAGTCTTGTAACTGCAGTTATAGGGTTTATTTTTTATTTTTTATTTTATCTCTTAACATCTTAAAAAAAATATAAAATGTATTTAATATTTATTATAATTAATATTTTATATATTTTTAAAATAACGAAAATACATAAAAACCAAAAATTAAAAGACCAAGAAGCATTGTCAAACAAATCATTAGCAGTGTTAACAAAATATTTAATGTACTTGACGGTTACTGTACAATTGGGACTTTATTGGAGAACTCCAATTGTACATTATTTGAGAACTTTCACAAGCTTAGAACTTTAATTAAGTGCAATAAAACTTTGACTTTAATTAAAAATTTAATGTAATTCAAAACCTTATGTATTGCTTTATCCGAAAAAAAAAAACAAAATTTATCTCTATTTAAAAAAAAAACTTATTACCTAATTTA